TCACCTAGGGCGCCTCCCTTGGGCGGCTGTAATAGGCCTCAGCCAGGATAAGCCCCAGGACGAGCAGGACCACAGCACCCAGTGCCAGGTGGGTGATGTTGGCGCGGGTGAAATCCAGGTGCCCTGGGGGGGCTGCTGTGGAGGGAAGGGAAGTGTCACTTGGTGGCTCAGATGGGGAGATCAGCAACTGCCCCGGGAGTGGGGCCCCCAACCCTCCCCATCCAGCAGGTCCAGTGCAGCCCCCCTCTGGGGCTCTCCCAGCTGCGGCATCTCTGGAGCCTCCCTGGGGCTGGACCCCTCAGGGAAGGCCGTGTCCTGCTGTCCCAGGGGCTAAGCCTCAGCTTCCCCGGTGAAGGGAGCTCCCAGGTGGATGAACTGCCCCCGAGACAGCCGGCACCCCAGTACTTGGCCGGGGGATGGGGACAATCAGAGCCTGAGGGTCTTATTAAGCTGTTTTCAGTGAAGCCTGCAGCTTTTGAGGGACGTAGTTCAGACCTGGGTCTGTGTTTGTAGCAGGCAGGCATGTCTGGCTCAAGGCACTGACGTCCCAAGCTGGCAGGGAAAACAGGCTCAGAGGTAGTCTCAGCACATCAGGTGGCAGTACCCAAGGGGGTTTCTGTGATCCAACCCGTCACAGGTGGTATGTAATTGTCCCAGGTCCCTGGGTGGGGGCTCGAGCCGGTTTTACATTGTGTTATTGAAAAGGAACCCCTAGATACTGAACCCGCCCCTGTTGCTGTCAACTCTGACGGGCAGAAGGGCTACATATGAATAAGCCTTTAGATTTTAGATTCTAAAGGATTGGCAACAGCGTGATTTGTGGGTAAGCTATGATTTGTACATTGACCTGGGTCTGGGGCTTGGTCCTTTGGGATCGGGAGAACCTTTTTTCTTTTCCTGGGGTATTGGTTTTTATAACAATTCACCCCCATAACGAGTGGCACTGGTGATGATAGTGGGGAACTGGAGTGTCTGAGGGAATTGCTTGTGTGACTTATGGTTAGCCAGTGGGGTGAAACCAAAGTCCTCTCTGTTTGGCTGGTTTGGTTTGCCTTAAAAGTAAAGGAACTCCATTTGGGGGCTGTAACTGCCCTGCTCTAAGCAATTTGTCATGAATTGACACTCTCAGAAGTGTCCCACCAAAGCCAGCATCATTGCAGCATTTGAGCCGGGAGCCCTGTTCTCTGAGGGATGAATTGTTCCATTTCTCCCACTCACCTTCTCCCCCCAGCTCCGGGGGTCCAGCTGGGTCGGGTCCCTCTGTGGGATTAAAACGAGCATCGGCTGAGAAGGGAGATGGATGGAACCGAGCACCCAGGCCCGGGTGGGAAGAGGCTGAAACGGTGACACTGGTCGGCCCACAACACGGTGTTTCTTACGGCTTTAATTGCCCGGGCTCGGGGGGAGTGAATTCAGCCCTGCAGCCCCTGGGCCCCGACTCCTCTGTGCATCCCCAGAGCAGGGGCACCTGGGAAAGGCCCCTGCTCTGGTGCTCCCCCTCAGGGCAGGGATCCCCCCTCCCTCAGCCCCAAACCGCCAGCAGCAGCTGCTCCCCCCTGACAGTGAAACACCCCCCCCCCCCAGTGGGCCCCATGGCTCAGGGCAGAGCCTGGCTCTGAGCGTCCCATCAGCACAGAGATCCCCACAGAGGCTGCCTGGGTGCGGGGCTGGGAGCGGGGACGCTGAGCCGGGCTCCTCACCTGCTACCACCAGCTCCACGGGGTCGCTGGGCTCAGACTGGACAGGCCGGTCTGATTTGGAGCGATAAGAGCAGTGGTAGTTCCCTCCATGTCTCCGGCTCACGTTGCGAATGGGAAACTCAGCCACGTCCCCAGCCGGCTCCGCGTCCTGCAGCAGATTCTGGTTTCCAACTTTGTACAGAAGGAACCTCATGTTCTGGTGCCGACCCTGACACTGGACAGTCACAGCTCCCCCCAGGGTGATCCCCTCGCTGGGGCGCAGGAAGATGGAGGGTTTGGGGGAGCTGAGCTCTGCAATGAGAAGGAGACAGGCCGTGAGACAGACCCCGGCACAGTCACTGTGCCCCATCCTCACCGTACAGAGACGGGGCCCCTGGGAGAAAACCCAGCCAGAGGAACCGCTCCGAGATCCCAGAGATTCCTGGGAGTTAGGCCCGAAACTGCCCGAGGACCTAAATCCAGAGCACCCCTCTGTACCCGTCTATCTACTTAATGGGGCACCGCACCCTGGGCGCTGGAATGCCTGAGTTCTACCCCAGCCCCAGTGGGGTCTAATGCCTAGATTGGGAGAGGGCTGGGAGTCAGGTGCTGAGTGCTGCACACAGACAAAAGGTGAAGAAGGATAATTATCCCCCATTCTTCCAAGGGGAAATGGAAGCACAGGCAGGTTCAGTGACACCCCAAGGTTGCCTGGGGGCAGGGATCCCCCCTCCCTCATCCCCGTAGCTCCAGTAACTGGGGAACCCCCCCAGTGACTCCGTCCTCGCTCCCTGGCCAGGCATCCCCTCTGCTGGGCCCAGGGTTCAGGGTAGAGCCTGGCTCTGAAGGCTCCATTGTCCAGAGACCCTCTGTGGCTCTGGCAGGCTGTAGGGCTGGGAGTGGGGATGCCAAGCCGGACCTCTCACCTGCTACAACAATCCGCACGTAATCACTGAGATCCGACCAGTTGGGTGGATCTGATCCAGAGTGAGATCGGCAGCTGTAGCTCCCTGAGTCTTCCCATCTGGTGCTGGGGATGGTGAATTCACCCCCGTCCCCATCAGCATCCAGCCCCCAGATTTTGATTCCACCTTTATACAGAAATAACCTCCTGGCCTCGCACCGACACTGACAACAGATGGTGACGGCTCCCCCCAGGGCGATCACCCCGCTGGGGCTGACGGAGATGGAGGGTCCGGGCGCAGGGAGCTCTGCATTCACACACAAACAGGAGTGAGATGGGGAGACATAAACCCCTCCCCCTGTGTCTGTAACCTGCCCTTAGCGCCCAGCCCCAGGGACAGCACCGGGGCTAACAGACTCCTCACTGAATCCACAGTCTGGTACTCCTGGGGCAATTCTGCACATCTGTGGACGCGCTAGGGTTGCCAATTTTGGTTGGCTGTATTCCTGGAGATTTCATCACATCACATAATTTTTAATTAAAGATTCATCTTTAATTCCTGGAAATTCCAGGCCAATCGTGGAGGGTTGGCAACTCTAGGACGTGCAGAATTCATTTTTCCCACATAATTTTGTTTTTTCCTGCATAAAAGACATTCTGCCCCAGAAGTGCTGCAGTTCCACCCTTTGCCCACTGGAGGCCGCTGTGGTGCCAGAGCAGCCAACAGCATGAATGGAGCCCGCTGTTCTGGCCCCACAGCGGCCTCTGGTGGGAAGAGGCGGAACTGCAGCACTTCTGGGGCAGAATTTATTTTCTGTGGGGAAAAACATTCTCTGCCTGCCCCGTGCTGCAGAATTCCCCCAGGAGCAGAAGTTCATCACAGCACCTGCCCACAGAGTGGGGCACCCAGGGCTGCTGGGGGGTCACAGACTGGGGCTCAGGAACTAGTGGGGTGACAGCGTTGAGTCTGGGGAGAGGGGAGGAGGCTGCAGGGACACATGGGGATGGAGGTTGTGGGGCAGCGGCTGATGTCCCTGACTGAATGGGAGAGGCTTCAGGTCAGCCAGGGTCTGCATGGGGGAGGCTTCCCAGCTCCCTAATAATCCCCCTGCCTAAAAAAAAACCTTCTCCCGCCCACTCCCACCACCTTCCAGGTTCACTCCCAGGCTCCTTCCCTCTCCCTCACCTTCTCTGTTACCCCTGACTCCCCCAAGCCTTTCCACTACTTCAGTCGGGTGCAGGAAATACAGTTCTGTCATGCGTGGGTGAATCCCCCCCGTGCATCTGACGAAGTGGGTATTCACCCACGAAAGCTTATGTTCCAATGCATCTGTTAGTCTATAAGGTGCCACAGGACTCTTTGTTGCTTTTTACAGTTCTGTCACGCGATTTAAATGAATTTCTCAAGGTTCTATGTTAATATGCCTAGAGAGGAAACTATTTGTCAAAAAAAAAAATTACCAGAATCTTTTTTTTTTGGCGGGTGGGGGGGTCGTGTATAGTTACAGACACACTCGCTGACAGATATTTTGAAATAAATGACCAAAATAATTGAAACTGGCAGGATTATATTGTGTTATTTTGACAAATAAAATATGCAGAATTTGCTGAATTTTCAGATATTTTGTGTAGAATTCCCCCAGGAGTAGGGCTCCACAGGAAACCTGTGGGCTGGGTTCTGACCTCAGCCCCCCGGGGTCAATCTGGAGTCACCCCTGAATGCTATGGGACAGGGCTGGGTTCTGATCTCAGTCCTCCATGCTCAATACAAGGAGGTTGAACTGAGTTTTGAGGGGAAATTTCTGGGGTCAGCTCCTCTTGTCCCCACCCCCTCCCATCCTTAACACTAAAGTTTCCCCAGGCTCACAGATACTCACTTCCAGACACCCTGCTCCACCCGGCAGCCAGCCAGCAGCCTGGAAAGGAGACGGCTCATTAGGGTCCAGTTCCCAGAGTACACTCTGGTCTCAGATCTCCCCCCCGCCCCATGGGCACATGCCCTGGCTGTCTCCGATACTCACCAAGGAAGAGGATGGTGAGAGCAGACACCATGATGGGGCAGCGAGGGGCCCCTCAGCGCTGCCACCAACACCCCAGTGCTGAGCTCCACCAAGCCCCAAATAAGAAACTCAGCTGGTCACTTCAGCTACAGGAAACCGACGATGTCTCAGCTCTTCCTGTGTCCATCACACCTTGTCTCTCATCTATCGGCCAAATATAGTGCAGCCAAAATAAGCAAAGGTCTCTGCAAAACTCTGACAAAGTGCCATGTGTGACCGGTTTGATCACAGAATCCCCCTTGGGAACTGCCAACTGATGTGCCAAGACTACTTCTGCCCCTGCTTTCCCCCTGCCCGCCTGGGACTCCAGCACCGTGTCTTGTTGAGCCAGACACGCCAGTCTGCTCCAACACAGACCCAGGGTCTGAACCACGTGCCCCAAAGCTGCAGACTTAAACTGAAAGCAACTTACAGAAGTGTTCCTGCCTTTAACACTCAGCTGCCCAACTTCCAATGGGGTCTAACCCCAAATAAATCCGTGTTACCCCATATAAGGCTTATACAGGGTAAACTCATACATTTTTCGCTCTCTATAACACTGATAGAGAGATATGCACAGCTGTTTGCCCCGCCCCCCCAGGTATTAATACATACTCTGGGTTAATTAATAAGTAAAAAGTGATCTTACTAAATACAGAAAGTAGGATTTAAGTGGTTCCAAGTAAGAGCAGACAGAACAAAGTGAATTACC